GTATGGGTTCTTTGTTGGGCTATGACCACGTCCCATACCTAGTTTCATTCCCTTCTTCACAGTGAGGTTTGGTTGTACGGCAGCGACGATGCCATCAATTGGTGACTCGGTATTGAAATCACGTGACCATACCAGCGTATTTGATGCCGCCAACTCTACTTATTCATTGCCAGAGGCTACTTGTCGCATTCCAGCATTGCTAATTATGTCCAGTTAGTTGTTCTGATGGCCAACTGTGGTGGTCCACTCAGCCAGCCTTTTAACAGCACTTTTCACTTTGAAGGTCCATATCGCATGCCATCAAGGGTGGCACCATTTAGATTGTTTATCGCACTTTGTATCTGGAGCAGCATGCTCCAGGCTTTTAAGGCTGGGTGTTGGATTTTGAGGGTTGGAACAATGTGACGAAAGTGTTCGAAATACCTTTGGTGAAGAGGCATTGCCACGAGACGCCGAAGTCGACTAAGTCGAAGAAGATAACACTTATTGACCTTTTGTATGTGTAGCGTACCTGGAAATACTGAAAGGAATGGCGGCAAACTCATTGCGTTCATGCTGTCGGTTTCTTTTTGGATTGTTTGAACTCTTGCGGTGGAGTATCATCGGGTGTCTGTGCTGTCCACTCCTTCCTTTTTTCAGTTTAAGGCTCTAGATCTAATCAAATAAGCTTTATTGTTGTACAGCAGTGAGGTATCAATGGTGATACTGATGTTGCTGATAATTGTCGCGATGATGTAGGACGATGCTCGTCAAGTCGTAAGTCAGGGATGTCAATCCACATGCGACCTGGACTAAACCCTATTTTGACTTTACCTCTCCAGAATGCTGGTAATCCTGCCCAGGATGATACCTGTAAAAAACTCGCAAGCGACGGTGAATGAACTGGTATCTCCAGACCTGAAGCTGACACATTCTCGAGGTAATCGGGCTTCTGTGCTGCAACGATCCTGCGGGCTATACTGGCTGGAACTCAGTCCTTAAAGTTGAGGCCATGCTAGGAAGGCCAGTGGCGAGCGGTCCGACGAAGAACAACGAGTCCACGTACTGCGAGCAATCGTGGTACGAGGCGGTATGGAGGTAAAGTCCGAATGTCTTCTGCGATATAACTGTGAAGGCAGTAAGGCGTTTCCCCCAGGCAGCCAGCATGACCATGTTTACAGAAGCAACGATACTGCCTTCTCCCGAGAAGGACGGGTCAAAAAGTATCGGCCCTAAAACCACACACTCCGATCGCCCAACGGTTGACCGTGACAGCCAGCGCATTATTCAACACGGTCGAAATACTTTTAAAATCAAAGTGTCCGATGCTGCCCAAAAGGCACCCGCTGTGCGCGGCCGCATTAGGGGTGAAACACCTTAATACCTTAGTACCTGTGAGATGGGCCAAGCGGTCAGAGCGCAGATTTATTGACCGGAAGGTCCGTGGTTCGAACCGAACCTCTGCCTCTCGACTTCTCCCGTTCTAGGCTTGGGCAACCTGGAATTATCCCAGCCCTCGTGCCTCCTTTGTGTGGCATGGTAGCTAGGCACCGAAAGGGTGCTACAGCTGAACAACAATAACCTGCGTCTTTGGGCCTGGCCTGTCACCTGCAGCCAGGTGAGTCAGACTTGATTCATTAGCTCCCGGAAGAGCCCCCCACCACCGCCGTTTCGCGCTCCAGACTCTTGAGTCAGAGGACGGGCAGAGCCCCGAACAAAACTCTGCATCTTCCCACTACCTTATAGGTCACACTTTCGAATCAGAGGATCAAGGTGGGTTACCTCAACCAACCATCTTCTTCGGCTTGGCAACCGGGAATGTCATTCCCCCTTTCAGCTCTTCGCTTACCCTCCGTTCCCACACCTCCCCAGCCTTCGAACGATGTAATGCGCCAACCCATCTGCCAGTCCCTTAGCCATTGTTCCGTACCTAAAACGTTGCGAAACTAACCACTTATTTGCCTCGAGAGATTTGATCCCCTGATGTGCGTACTGTTTGTCAAATTGGGCAACAAGTCACTGTTGCTGGAACCTTGTTTTCCCATCTGTCAATGTATGTTGTGTCTCAGAAACATGCGTAAAAGATTTCGCTTAGGTCGCACACCTCAAGCCGCCTAAATCTAGGTCAAGTGTTCCACATTTTTCTCTTGTGGTATCCGGTTATACCGACGAAGGGGCGAGGTGGCTCAAGTGGTTAAAGCGCGAATTTACTGACCGAGAGGTCCGTGGTTCGAACCCGACCTCTGCCTCTCGACTTCCCCTGTCTAGGCTTGGGCGACCTTGCAGTATCCCAGCCCTCGTGCTTCCTTCGGGTGGCATGGCAGCTAGGCACCGAAAGGGCGCTACAGTTGAACGATATATCCCGACGCATAGACTCGTGGTATCTATGATGTGTTGGTTACACTTAGCCTCAAGGCTGAAAGCGCCTTATTGACTGGAGCCCACTAGGTAGTTATCTTTGCTCTGTGCGGTTGTCTGGCCCGATTAAGATCGATTCAGGTCGATACGGTAAACGGTGTATATTTGTCTTGTCATCATACACCCGGATAGACTGTGGTTATGATCCTGAGAAGGACGGATTTCATTAATATCTGTCACGACTGATTCGTTCAGCAAGAAGGATAGATAAGCAGTTTTGCCGGGTGACATGAATGCCTAAGTTGGATGACCAAGTCCGGAAGAAGCACAATTAGGTGATAGAATTGGAGTCTATACTCAACGTACGGATAATGGAAAGTGACCGCTTCAGTTGTATGCTGATCACCATCTGTTCCGGTGGCACGTAGACTCAGTGGTTAAGTACGAATTATGTCCGTGGTTCGAGCCCGACCTCTGCCCCTTGACTTCCCCTGTCTAGTCTTGGGCGACCTGGCAGTATCCCAGCCCTCGTGCTTCCCTCGGGTCGCATGGCAGTTACGCACCGAAACGATGTTACAGCTGAACGATTATTATTATGGTCTGTTCCTGAGCAGTACGAGCTTCACATCGATCTACTTGGAGGCTACCAACCGCAAGCTGGCCACAGACTCATTAGGATCATGGGGCTTACAGTTACCGATGGAGAGATTCAATGAAGGGTTTTCGTTCCTTCTGGGGAACTCAACTTGACTTTTACCATGCCCTTGTGTGTGCCTGGTTATCACTCCACTTTCCGTCAACATTTCGCATGCCAAAGCAGAACAGTTTCACTCACCAACTTCGACGAGTATCAGTGGCTCACGAGTATTGAAATGACTTGGCTAGAAAGCGACTTGAAACGCACAGTCATGTTGATGATGAAGATTGCTTAGAAGATGAATGAGGGCGAGCTTTGCTGTCAGCTTTCGAAACTGTTTGTATAAGGCATCTGGCTCGACTAAATAAACATAGGTTTCGTCGAGGTGAGCAGGTCTCATTGCTGCCAGAAGGGCCCTACAAGAAAGGAGCAACTGTGATGGCGAACGCAGGTTCATCATACCATGGATGATCAAGAATTCAGGTATGACAGAACGCTTGTGGATTTCGAAGGCCTAGAAGATAGAGGAAATTTTCGCTGCAGACAACAGCCTCACCTTATTTCAGCTGATTTGATCAACTGGTCAAAAGAATACAGCTGTCAGTGAAACGATGTGCGAAGAAGCTTGAACCGTAATTCACTCAACATCCATCATTCACTCAACTCACCCATCTTGAGCGATGGATGAGCAATTCAAAGGACAGTTTAGATGGTCTCCAACACAACTGCTGGAAGAACCTTGCGGGTCAGAATGGAACATCGGCACCATTCCGCCATCATCAACACCAGCGTGAGCTATCAATCAAGCGCGGCAAGGTACCTGGCGCGGATCCTGTGCACCCCACACTCTTCCCAAAACGTGGTGAGGTCCTAGTGAACAGTCCGACAGCCATACTGCAGAAAATTTGGAATTGAAACAATACCTCTATTCCAGTTTTCAAAAGGGCGCAATAACGTCATGCGAAAACCATCGTGTCATCATCCTAGTATCAGTCACACCTAAGATGCTCTCTGGTATTATTGTGCTTGGGTTTAACGGTTATCGAGAGAGACAGGCTCGTGAGAATCAAGCTGGATTTCGCCCTGACCGAAAATGCATCGACCTTGAGACAAATTCTTGAACAGCGCGACTCCTCCAAACTTCCTACGTTGCTCATTTTTGTTAACATGAAAGCTACTTGTCGCCATGTCGATCGTGAAAAATTGGTAATGTCTGGCGACCAAAGGAGTCTCTTCTAAATTTATGCCCCTTTTTGAGGGCACTGTATGTGAACCCTTGTGGGTGTTTAAAAAATCGTTCAGCTGTAGCACCATTTCGGTGCCTAGCTGACGTGCCAACGGAAGAAGGCAAGAGGGCTGGAATACGGTTAGTTTGTTCAACGCTAGACAGAGGAAATCGAGGTGCATGGGTCGAGTTTGAACCACGGACCTTCTGGTCAGTAAATTCGCACTCTAACCACTGAGCTATCTCGAGCGCTTACGAGTATATGAAAAGCTTTCGCCTGGGTTCACCTTATCCATTGGTGCAAAACAAGGCCACCCTCTCTAGCCTTTCTTCTCCAACTTTGCTGTTGTGCTGTGTGAAATTTCTCTGCCTGCCTCTGAAACCTCGGGCGTCGAAATCCTCCCGGGACGTTCGCCCACAGACATTGAGTATATGGACAACGTTGCTCTTGATTCAGATCGTTCCAAAATGCAAGCAATTTTGAATAAAATGAATGACTCTGCCGCACTTTTTGGCGTGCACCTCGCACCTGAAAAGGGTAAAGTGCTTCTACAAGACTGAGTGGGATCAAACCGGAATCTCATGCTTGCGGACAAACCGGTCGACGTGGTGTATAAATTTGTTTACTAAGGCAGTTGCCTTGGCTTGGACACTACGTCATTGTTCCAGCTTCATGCTTTCTCTTGGTTGCATTGAAGATGTGCACCTTAGATTCCTCAGGGGTCTGCGTATGCGGCCAGCTGTGCTCTCAGGTCCGCATACGCAAATGATTAAAGTAACAATTTCTCTCACATTTGTTTCAGGTACAATGACCGACTACCTCGAATTCACTTCCAATCCGATGGCACCGGACAGCTTTGTGGATCAGGAAGAAGTGCGGAACCACAAGCTATCTAACAGTGATTTCCGTAAACTTCTCATGACTCCGCGACCTGCTGCAGTACCGCCAACTGCAGCGGATGATTTGAAAAAGGACGACTTGATGCATCCACCGGACAAAGCAGACAGGAAGCACCGCGACACTACCGGACCTACCGCTGGTGGACGACCAAAGCATAAGCGTCATCACGGTCGTCAACATAGACGTGACCAGGCAAAGGAGAGCGCCGCAGAACCAACCCCACGTTATCGCGATCGTGCTAAGGAGAGACGTGATGGAAAATTGGTTGCCCCCTCGGAGGAAGGTGCGGACGAACGGGATTACGAACAGGATGAAGAAGCTCTGTCACGTACGGCTGATTACCGAGCTGTGGCCCCAACGTCAGCGGCTGGTCAATCGCTCGCAGAACGCCGTCGAATGCTGATTCAGGAATCAAAGTATCTTGGAGGTGATATGGAACACACTCACTTGGTCAAAGGTCTTGACTACGTTCTGCTTCAGAAAGTTCGGCTAGAAATTCAAAACAAGGAATTAGAGGCTGAGAAAGTCCTAGATGCTGAGTTGTCTAAGCCCGAGGTTAGTAAAGACCGTCTGACTACTGAGGATGGAGTGCAGTTCCGCACAAAGCTTGCAGCTGGCATCTTCGACGCGCTATTCAACCTCCGTCCTCCTGAACGCAATGAATATTTTCAGCCCGGTCGTATGGCCTACAGAATCGAGCTGGAAGATGATTCTGTGGACTTTGAGGTCCCCGCTACAGTCATACGGAGTAAGGCCGACTGCTTGCAAACAGATGGGCGAGGTTCAGATACCATCACCACAAATGAGATTGTCATTAACAAACTGACACAGATTTTATCCTACCTCCGGGCTGGAAAACGACATGCTAAGAAGGCGAAGTTGCGCGGACGGTACGGCGAAAAGGATGAGGAACTGGGGGTGGACACTGTCAAGTCGCAGGCTAACTCGAAGAAAGTTTCAGGTAAGTCCTAGATGCTTTTCAACCCTATTTATCTTACTCGAGTAGCTGTTTCACAGTCTGGGGGCGAGATTGACTCAGCGGTTAGAGCGCGAATTATCTGACCGTGGTTCGAGCCCGATCTTCGCCTCTCGACTTCTTCTGTGTAGGCTTGGGCAACCTGGCAGTATCCCAGCCCTCGTGTCTCCTCCGTGTGGCATGGCAGTTGGGCACCGAAAGGGTGCTGCAGCTGAACGATTCACAGTGTACTTCTGACAAACCCAAAAAGTCTCGATTCTGGACAATTCCACCCTTTTTGCTCTGCCATGCCTTCAGCTCCTTTGTGCCAGGTCAAATCCTTCGGGGGGTCCACTGCATCCTTTCAGATCTTTTGATACTGTCAGCAAATAGATGGGCTGGTGAAGGCTTTAAGGTTTCCCGTTTTTGTGGGTCCTGAGCTCACGACAGACCCTCGTGCCATCACACCATTAGCCTTGTGTTTGGGATTTGCAACGTCCGATAAAGCGTCCTCTGTGGTCTAATTCGTGGTTGCTGCTTGTAAATGAACCGCTAGAGGGCTTGGTGCATGTTTTTAGTGACCTGGGGACAATGTCTAAACCTCCACATAACGGATCAGAGTGTGGGTTACTTTTTCTGGTATTTGGTATTTCTATGTTCTGGAACGTGTTTCTCTATCGAAGCGGGTCGACCATAGATCTAGACAGTAATAGCCAAAAGCTATTCAACAACAGCCTCATGAGTAATGTGTTGCATCAAGAAAGTCTACTGCGCTATCTCTGTTGTACCGCATATTCAGTTGGAGGACAGGGCGTTTGTGTTTCTCGTCAAGACCAGCGTAGTTTGCAAACGAGTGTATTTTGTCTATTGCGACAACCCATTTGTTCATACTCCACTTATTGTGCAGTGCACGATAGGCAAAGTTATCGCGTATTCACTCATATTTTCGTGGCTTTTTCCAACCATTTTCGTTCCACATTGTCATCAACTACGTTTAGTGTGTAAAATTTGGACTAAAGCAATAACACTAGCGTTCTTCACTGATGTTGCATAGGTTCGAATGCGAGTGCTCATTTAACTTTGCAGTGGAACTCAATTTTTCATATCGCTTGTCTAGCTGTAATATATTGGGTATGGTAACTTCAGTTTGGTACGTTAGAAGGAAATCGGGTGATTTTCGGTGATCCGGTGAGTTCCTGTGACCGGAAAGGGTGAGTTGGTTTTAAGTTCACCGTCTAATTACTTAAGTAACTTGGATTTTGTGAGATGTAGTCGGGGGTCGACGTTCTTATGCGTGCATTGCCTGCATTTTTGATGACATGTGTATGTGAGATTGAAAAAAGCTTCGAGTTAAGACAAACAAAACATCGAATTGGAGGCCAAACTGCCAAGCTTTGTTCTCCAAATATTCATCCACACTTTCTGGAACTAACCAGGGAATAAAGTATTTCCTTAACTAACCTCTCACTCTGAACGTAGTTGGTCAAAAAGAACAGAAGAGCGTTCAGTGAAACAGCTTTGTGAACTTTTGTCACCCTGGTTGTTCATCAGTGTCATCTGGATGCTTGGAGTAGTATCCGTTGCCGAAAACAGGCTGATTGAATGGCACCATTGCTACTCCACCTTCCCCAGCTATGAAGAACGTCAAGTATCTTATTGTCTCTGGTCTGTCTTTTGGAACAAGATACAGGATTTTGAAATCACTCTCCATGTGCTGCGTGGTCAGTTTGGAAAAGGTGTTCGGCGAACGGGCGAAACATTTTGGATCCTGTTCGCCTTAAGTTTGCTCATGGAGTACGCCTGTGAGACAACCAAACGTCATAACAGCAACCCAAGTTACTTCTGCCTACTACTTATGGTTAGTTTTCATACTGTTTGGGATCGTTGACTCCGCGTCAGTAAAGTTCCGCAATATACTAGTGACGGCAAATGGTATGCAAGAGTTGGCAACTGTGATTTGGCTCACAACATGTGCTTTTTATTGCTTTTGGTAGGATATTGACTGGGAAATTTTATGGCACCATCAGGCAAATAGGTTGTCCCATTATTGCCAAGAGCGATGACAGTCGATGACCTGCGTCCTGTTGACCCTGCTTTGTCACACAGTTACTGGATGCGTAACGGTAGCCTGTACCTTAGTCCACAACTTGTCCACACGTTTAATTCCCTGTGCCTTATGGAGGTTTATTTACTCAAACTGTGTTGTACCACATGTTCGGCACATTCAAGTCGAATCCCTACTTGAACATCTGCGTGTACTGGTGGTGCCAACTCTGGAGGGAGGGCTTGTCCACTTTCACCGAAATTCTTCAATTTTACCGCTTTTCTCCTCTTTCAGATGAGGTCATATTCGATAACGTTGGGTCAAACTATGTGCCTACCGTGAACCGCCGTGCTCAGGCGTCAGGGACTCAGTCAGATCATGTGGTTAGGGAAAAGCAGTCTACCGGAGAGGAAGCGGGAACCCGTCGTCCCAGGCCATCCTATTTCGAGGTGCCCGACGATGCCGATGCGGCTGCTGCTACCGACGCGGGAAATTCGGTCAATGCAACCAAAGAATTTATGCAGGAGCTGAACCAGCGTTTCAACCCTAAGGATGATGAGAAAGTCCAAGAAAAGGTAGTGCGAGTGGTCGCACTAATCCCTATCGCTAATAAGGAATATTTTGTATTTTGACTCTTTTTGACCCTCCTTATAAGGTTACCATGATCAGGAACGCCCTGCCGCTTAACTCTGAAGAAGTGATAGTTCCTCTGACAGGAACACTAACCATACCAAAATAGTTGGGGTTTACTTGAACCATTCTCCAGGGATTCGTATGCTAGACTTTTAATGATGGGCTGACGCTACTGGGTTCTGTTCTGGAGGAATCGCCTATTTGCATAAGGCCTTTCAGAGAACATTGTACATGCCCACGTATGGTTGATAACTCTCAGGTAAGTGACTTGTTCGCTTAACTGGTGAGTGTAATTGTTTGGTGATCACACACCGTGAAGCGTGCGTCGAAAGTTCCAATCTTCAGGTTTGCTGACTGAAGCCCTAGTTCCTAAGAGGTTTTAAGTTTCTCACCGTTTTTTAAGTTCAGGTTTTTAGAAAAGCCTTATAGCATCCATCAGATAATCCGTAGTAATCATGTCCAAATGGTTGTCTTGATCAAGTCTGAAGGTCTGTCACTTAGGCTAACTACATAATAGACCTCAAGGGTGCAGTTGGTGAAACGAGCGTCAAGTCCGTTCTCCATGCTAGCCAGTTTCATTCTGGCATTGAAATGAGGTCGATATGGGCACATACGTCTCGAAAATGGGTTCTATCCTGAAGGTGAATTCAGCCTACTTTCATCCTTATTGAGAATCATCAACGGTATGCATATCACAATTTGAACGGCAACCTTCCAGATACCTGTTCAACACCATTAAGCTTGAGTTGGCCGTATTTAACTTCACTGATTCTCCAACCTCAAGATTCACGTCACGCGTAATGGTTTCCCCTTGCGATGGCTTCTCAACTGTGAGCTCCGAAAGACCCCCAAACCAAACTGTAGGAGCCTCATGTTGTTCGCCGCTCCACGCCACATGGTTGGGTTTTCATTCTGGAAGCCAGTAGAAGAATGAGCGGATTGGTTATTGCAACGTCTGCCATTGTTCCGGTTACAAGATACTGTACTTCATCTGCTTATATGTTTTCGCTGGAGGTTTCCGTACAACAAAGTACACCTTCCCCTGGAATTTCACGTCCAAATAATAGAAATAATATGACTTGTCGCACCTCTTGTTGAACAGATTACTTATGTTTCTGTGTCCGACAGCATGAGTGGACTTCAGTTTGATGATGAACTCTATATTTATTATTTTCTGGCGAGGCTGATGCTTTGATGTTTTCACATCGTATTCGCCACTACTGGCCTAGTGCGTTTATTCCACGGGTTAAACTCTTCATCAGCTAACAATTTAGGAGATTCGTTTTGTGGACCGTATTGTTTCTCGAATTTGGATGCGCTTCCACATTAGGTGAGCTGTTTTCATAGGCTGTGTATATTCCCCCCACATGGGATAAAGCTTACTGTGACACGTAAAGTGCTTTCTTTCCCGTCAGATTCATTACCATCACCTCTCCAACCCAATGCCGTTTTTTTCCTTTGACAGGCCAGCCTTGAGCGCTTCTTCGAGAAAACTAAAGTCACCTGCTATGATGAGTGCTACCCCGGATTCGCAGAGTCCTACGATGCTATGGGTGATTCGGATGACGAGGCTGACTTCAGCAAAATGGACCTTGGTAACAAGAAAGGTCCGGTTGGTCGTTGGGATTTCGAGACCCAGGAAGAGTACAGCGACTACATGTCACACAAGGAAGCTTTGCCCAAAGCAGCCTTTCAGTACGGAGTCAAAATGGCCGATGGTCGTCGTACTCGTCGTATCGGTCCGAAAGATGAAAAAGCAGAGTTGGATCGGCAGTTACAAAAGATTCAGTCTATTATTCAAAAGCGGAAACAGCTGGCAGAGGACGTGGGGCCAATGGCCAAAAATCCCCATTACTAACATGTTCTCCCTCAAGGTTCTCTCTCCTCTTGTACATACATGCATGCCATCTTTGTTCCTCTACTCTGATTCGTTAACCTAACCAATTTCTCAGCATACCTCTGTTACGTTTGAGTTATACCTTTGCACTCTGTCTACTTGGACTCCTTTCCATCTTGTTGCTCTACACATACTCTGGACTCCTGTGCCGTACACAGTGATATTTATACACGGACACAAGCTTTTTTCACTATCTATTCCACCTCGTTCCGTAGCTCTGCGGTAGTTTTGGCATCATTCTCCTACCACTGCGTGGGTACGGGAGTTTGCTCCAGGGACACTATCAGTGTGTCGATGGGTATTTTGACAAACCACGGAAGAGAAAGACGATATAATGCACATGATGCCTTTTTCAAACTACTGTTATTTGGTTCTAGGAATTATTTTCATTTCAGTGTACTGACCGATATGGTTGGCCACAGTGAGGCGCAGTGCAGGGTTGCTCACTTTTAATGGCACGTGGTTAGGTATTTTCCACACAGTATCACAAAGAGGGTTTAATAGACTAATAGACTTCAGTTGTTTGCCTCTTGATCACTAGATTATTTTTAGGCAACTCTTGTAGAGAATACAAACTTTGTACATCTATAGATGTTAGTACACATTTTGCAATTAAACAGGGCACGGTAAGTGAACGGCGGGTCAGCTACAATCATTTTACGAGACTGTCTATCGTTGATGGTTATCATGACACACACAAAGTCACGGCACATCTACTGCCCATCACCCTTTGAATAGGTTTCGCTTTATTTCGCCACCACTTTGACAGTGATTTCATAGTCACAACTAAGTCGGCCAAAGCACGTTGGATTTGAATAAGACTTTGGTTAGAAATGTGGACGTAACGCCCTCAGAAATATCAGATAAATGGTAGATGTGCGACCTAATCGTCTGTTTCCTCTTTTCTGCAGCAGGATCGTTTTCTAGCTAAAGGGATTTTGCTCAGTGGAACCTGATATGACAGGATATATGTTTTACGTCTTTTCCAAGAACTAACTTGTGAAATTACCTCTTAGGTAAAAGACTCCACTGCCACCCTAGAACATTGGTCGTGGGACACAGCCGTTCACACTAACCAACATGAACTTCTAGCGGACATCATGATCATCATTGTCAGCTGTAATAACCGCGTACTCGTCTTACAGTGGTTGTAGCTGCCGCAGTTTCGTTCATCGATGATTTGGAGGGGGGAAGGTAACTGCGCATTGCAGGCGGGGGGGGATAAATTGGTGCATAAATCCAAAACTATCAGTGGGCTGTCAAGTGGGAGGATTGAAAAGGAAGCTATGCATTGAAGGCAAAGCTTGGATGGCACGAGCTCCATTGAGGGCGCGGACACCTAGCACTGATTTAATTGGTTCGTTGAAGATCACACTGATTGTTTCTCCGTGTGCCCGAAAACTTGGCCAATATATTGATCTACTTAAGAAACTTTTGTATTAAAAAAAGTATCTCCCGTTACAGAGTCCACAGGTTGTTTACCAGACCTTTCAAAATGATAACCTCTTATTCGATCCCAAACTATGCTCCAACAAAGTCTGATCTCTCTATTTCATAATAGTCATCTTTGAAGCGCATCACAATGATATAGCGAGTGAAAGAGTAAACAAACACGACCGGTTTAGAAAGGCTTGTTATACAGGCGCCTATAATAACCCAGTCTGAATTAGCCAACCGAATGGCTGAACAACGGTTCGTGGGGAAAAGGGCTAACTCGAACAAATTTTCACGAATATTACCCACTGTGGCGTTTATGCTGAGATGACCGCTGCTGTAAGACCGACGAATTGGTCGGAGAATTTAGTAGGTCAACGATTCTGGCATCTGTAAGTAACATTTTGAGGATCAATAGGATGGTGTCGATGTAGGAGGGGAAGCGCGATCTGAGCATCTGTGAAGTGAGTGTGTTCACTGTTGATACCTCGAGTGTGATTCATATTCGGATGTGTGGAGAGGAAAAGGACACATAAAAAAACGAATCTCACAAAATTATCTCAACGATATTAGCCAACTTTGGCAAAAGAATGTGTTTAACGCCTATGGAGCCGTGCTTCACTGTTCCTCTGTACCTAATAAGACGTTGGAAAGAGATCAGGGGGCAGCCAGTGGGAACAAAGTACCCAAAATTCGAGTACCTCGTATCTTTGTGGAAGTTTGGGGGACGGAAAACTGACGTCAGTTGCAATAGGCTTCAAGAGCGTTGACTTGGCACATTTCGGTGTGGACAAGAATCCACAATGCGCTTGAATGGGAATTTCCTTGTTTATTACGTATTTGTTGACAGTGTTCCCTCGCACTGGGTGCAGGAGGCGGTCAGTAGGCTTCTCTGCAAATTGGACTTCCATTGTCCTTCAAATACAAGTATCAGCCTTGTGGTAGACGACAGAAAACAAGGTTGATGAGGATTTTTTGTGTCACGTGAGCATACTAAAAATCGAAGTAAGCTTCAAATGCAAGATAACGTTTGATTTTAGTGGTCTGTTGGGTTTAAATGTTTATTCTCAAGTCTTGCGCGGTTTTCAACTTGGTCTAGTGTTGCTCATGTAGCACTGACACTGATAAACAGAATGCACAAGTGCACTGCTCATTTAGTAAGCGGAAACATTGATGGCGGACAACTACTTGGGTTATGACATCCCAAAGGTCCAAGGTAAAACTTTTACAAAAAATACTAGACCCGAACGGGCATAGCATAGTTTGACCGCTAATAAACATATGCGAAATGTTACAGACTTTTGTATTGCACCTATTAGTTTTGTGTAAAGTAGTTTGCTGTCTCATGACACTAGAAATGGTAGTCTGGTTTCACCAAACGATCAAACGGTCACCTTTCTCTGTCGCTTTGGTGGGAATACTTCCATCTGGAGATATTGATCTCTGGAGGCGGCTTTTAATGCTGCAGTGTGGAATACATGAACCAATGTGTAAAACAACCTGAAACAGATTGCCAAGTAACTCATGCTTACACCGCTCAGTTGATCGGGCTGTTAATCGGTGTTCAATTATGGCGCTCCACAAAGTCAACTCAGCATATTTTTATGTCGTTATACAGTTGGTTGAAACTTTTGCCCGATTTCCCGACAGTGGTTCATCCTTCTGATATACACCTCTTTCATAATTCACACAGGCCTCTATGCGGTATCCTGCTGTGAATATATCCAACCTACCTTATGACGCCGGATCTCAGAGTCGCAATTATTTGGGGGGTCCGTGAAATAGCATACACAGTTCATCCTGACAAGCCATTGCGAAAATCCCGATAGCCTCATGAACTCTGTCTTAGTGACTTTGTCTGCCTCACAGATCTAGTTCCCTGCGCTTGCACGATAACTTTTGGTTTGAACTTATTCTAGGTGGATGCCAATGCCGGTTGAGTTTAACGCAACTCTTAGCTCAGTGAACGGTTTTCGAGCACTCTCCCACAAATTTGCCTACTGAAATTTTGTGAGTAGTCGAGAACTGAAGCGTCGACCTTCGGTGTAGGGTCTCAGCAACCGAAATCGACATGGCATGAATTTCTGGTACCCTGGTGGAACTATAAATTCAGCAGCAGAAAATTCAGTCACGTTTCTGCTGCACATGGGCCACTGATTGGTTCTCATCACGAGAAACAAGCCACTGGGATGAGGTTCAAATCATTTCCGGGCGTCCGCACAAAAGCTGGGAAGCCGATAGAGTCCAAAACCAAGAATTGACAGTACAAGCACGCTGGTTGAGCTGTATCATATTAATGTGACCGGAAAGTATTCAAGCTTCAGCCATTAATTAAGGATGGTAGCTTGGTGGTTATCCTAGATGGAACATAACAGGCACGTACACGCCTGGTCAATTAATGACACCGGAAGACAGTCTAATTGCTAGACCGATATGTTACTGATCTCACCTACAACGGCAACGGATGTGCGAAATTTGCAGGACGAAGTGGAGATGCTGAGCATGCATGCTCAATCTCAGACGGCTCCGGTGATAAGCTCGGTGACTAATCAGACAGTCACTGATTTTGAATAGGTCGGCCACATGTATACGGACCTAAATAGGTCGCTCCAAATCACTGCCCGGTGCCTAGACTGTCTCTGAATCCAGTTGCATCGGGATTATAGTTTTCGAAGTAATTTCATCACTCAGAAGTACCTTAGCCGGACTTTTGCGGGTGCTCAGTGCAAACTTGTGAAAATTCAGCATACGGTGACCAGAAAAATATCCGGACTAGCAAAACGTCTTTCCGATAAGATAAAATAAACAGATTTCCATTCCATCTAATTAAAACGCAATATCCCCAAACAATCGGTGGAAGCGTTTTCTCACTGTGCATGTTTCAGTGACTCCCTAGTTAGAGATACGTGTATTGGTGATGATACAAATTACGCACCTCCATTTTGCATTAGACTAAGTTCTCGTTGGCTAGAGAAACAGATGAAATTCCAAGTTCTGAAAACATATGTACTTGCGACACACTTCAGAGCAAATGAAAGGACAGCTTTTTTGGTGAATACAACGAACCAGGTTTGCAAGATGAAATTGGAGTTTCGTTTAAAAAAGACAAGTGAGTGACATTTTGTTCAACGAATCTCGTCGATGCTATTTCAAACACCACCATTTGTGAAAGATTTCCACTCAGATGAATAGAGTGAATGAAGTAACTCCTATTTGCAGATCGTTGTTACTGTTCGTTGATTCAAAATAGTTTGGCATACCCTTCGGTCTGATGCGTGCCCAAGTTGCAACTAATCGAGAGATCCAACAGATTTTATCCGAAACTGTTCAGCCCCTCCATATCAACCCGCCTAATTTCCAGAGAATCCACTCCCAACACCCTACTGCAGGAAGTTATTCTCCGAAATCGACGGCCAACGGAAGCAAAAGGTGAATGTTAACAAGTAGTTCTTCAGCGCGATGATTTAGAAGCCGTGAGTGATTTTCTAATGCTAAGTGAGTGACCACAGAAACTGGAACATCAAGAATGGAAACAATATCACTAAGAGCATCCTGCAATTATCCGAATGTGAACGCCGTTCGAAGTTATGCATCCTACTCTTCCTCCTTCCCCTCATCAACATCAGCTGTGGGATTCGCGTGCTTGCCGTGCAGTGGTTCTAGCTGCCACAGTTTCGTTCACCGATGACTTGGGGAGACGAGGTAGATAGCTGCGCATTGAAGGCGGTAGGGGATATAATCTGTGCGGAAATAAAGGGTTGCCAGTTGGTTGATGAGCTGTGCATTGAGGGCAATAGCCTGAGTGTACAGGCGCAATTGAGGGCGCGACTGGGCCATATCTGACAAATACTTTAACCACTGATGCGTCTCGTCCCTGGGTCCCAATCCATGGAGGCG